TCTGTCAACCTCAAAATCTTCCATTTTTTGCTTTCCTTTCTCAAGGCTTTTGAGTAGACGGCTATTCTTTCCTTTCAGATCTTCAACTCGACTTTTCTCGATGTTCAATTCTCTGCTTATCTGTACTGTTGATTGGCTTGGTCCTGATGCTTTCCGGGATTTATATAACTCTTGGTAATTTTTCTTTAATGCTCTAAATTCACCATCAACTTTTTCTTTGTTTTCTCTCAACATTGCACATTGTGATGAATGAAAATCAATATCAACACCCAACATAGCTTTATCTCGTCTCATTTGCTCTAATTCTCTTGACCAGCCTTCTCTTTCTGCTTCAAACTCAGCTCTCAGGATTTCAATCTCTGATGGAACCACCTTAATTCAATCTTCCATAGAGATATCCTCATTTTGATCTGGTAGAGGAATATTTTCATTTTTCCTGACATATCTCCATTCCTCATAATCAGGAGTTAGCATTTCTTTTGCTGCTTTAGCTCGGATACAAAAAGTTGTTTTCCAAGCTGTAACGGCTTCCATGATATTTCTTTTATAATTTTTGCTGTGAAATGCGAACTCAGATAAATGTAATCCAGCGGTGACAGGTACAAATTGACGACCTTCATACTGTCTTATGACCAGAAGTGGTGCATATCCAATTCCTCCCCATAATCCGAGCAGCATTATCCAATTGTAATTACCACATTTGTAAAAGAATTCCCTTTGGATTTGCCACGGGGCTCGCCAAACAACGTCATTACTTTGCAGATTTCGAAAAGCATTAATCCACATATCTTTCTTAATTTCTTTCGGCCATTCTTGCTCCAGAAATTCTTTTAATGGTGAGTAATCCGTATTAAAGCGTCGGTATGAAACCTTTTCTGTCTTCCAGAAATGGCTACGGACCCAAACATATAACAACTGGGTACACCCTGAGAATCGTCCACCTCCTAGCTTTCTACAAGCATTTAACGATCTGAAGGTCTCTGCTAGAATTGCAGAAGCAGGATTAATCTTTTTCGGTAGCTGTTCAAACAAATCTACCACTGCAGCTTCAACATATCCCAATACTTTTGGGAAGATGACCATACCATACATACCCAGAGCAAATAGATCGAATCGTACTTTAGTGTCTGGATGACTCTGAATAAGTTCTTTAATGTTGGTCCAAGCAATGCCTTCGCTTTCGCCTTTTTTGTTTTGTACGGGATGCCACCCATTCTTCTCGTACCCCGGCAATCTTTGCTAATTTAACTCGAAAGGGTTGAGTTTTAATTGACTTTGAATAGATTCGATTCTCCAAAGCCCCTTCGATACGTAGCAAAGTTGTGTACTCTTCAATAGTAGGGACCAAGTCCTCCTTATTGAGAGTGAAGCAATTGTACCCTGGATTCCAGAATTGAATTAGGGCTCTGAGTAATTCATCATCAACTTCGACATAGAGCAAATATGGGATGTCTCCGTAAGTCTGATAAAACTGCAATTTTTTGTTTGAATCCCAACTTTCCCAATTGCTTCGCAAATCTTGCATATCATTTCTTTTTTTAACAAAACTGGAGCATAACTGGCCAAGTCAGATACATAATCATCCTGCAGACTGCCTCCCTCTTGTCTTTGTAAGTCCTCAGCCCACTGTCTTACTTCTGAGTTTAGAATTATTTGATTTGAACACTTTTTATCCATGGATGAAGGCTTTCCAATGAGACAATTAACACGAGGATCAATTCCTTTTATCCTGTATGATGCTATGCAAACAGAAAAGATAAAGAACACACAAAAAGAAATGAATTAGTTTACATAATAAAGAAATTTAATAATAACATTTACCTAAATATTTTTATTTAAACATGCTTTTTCATAATTTAAATAATTTAAATATACATGTAATTTAATCAGAAAAAAAATTAACAGGAAAATTAGAATTCATTTCTCCTGTGTGTACACCTATTTTGGACAAAATTTCGGCATGACTTCGGATCGGAAGAGTTTCTAGGGTTTATTATATGCAGGGTTTCAGATCTAAGAATAAAGGTACCCGAATTGTCCTTGTTAATGCCCCCTTGGGTTGCTAACCCTCAATCCTAGTCCATCACAGACTAAAATGGATCGAGTTTAATTCGAGGGGATACATTTCTCTATGTCTGACACGGAGAATAAATTCTCACGAAGACATAGAGCATATAAACCCCCGAAAGTTACTTGCTAGGTCTGACACGGAGAATAAATTCTCACGAAGACGTCGCTTTCACTCCCACTTAAAAGGGACAAACTCAATTATAGAGCTTATGTTATGCAATGCAAGTATTGTGTGTGAGGAGAAATGTTCAAACCTTTGACAGAAAAATAAATAATGAAATAAAATACTTGTAAATAAAATGAAATATAATAATATATAAATACTATAAAAAAATATGTATATATAAAAAAAAGAATTATAAATTAAATATATGAAATTTTAATTTATAATTAATAGAGACAATTTATAATTGATTTTTAAAAGTTTGACCAGGTCCCCAGTGGAGTCGCCAAGCTGTCGTAACCGGTTTTCGTCCAGGTACGAAATATTTATTTGGCGGGAAAATTGATGTGAATAAATGGTTTTTTTGAAAATAATTTGAGAGTCGCCATCGGCCTTTAGGGTCAGGTAGGTCGAATACCTAAAATTTATTTTTTTTAAAGAGTTTTAAGAAAACATCAATTAAAAAATGAACTGATCTAAGTTTATAACCAAAAATTCGTTCTTTTTAATAATAAAAAGGGATTCGTGGTCGGTTACGTTTAGGGAAGGATTAGCACCCCTACAACGCCCAAATTGGTACTTTTTAATTATAAATTGTCTCTATTATTAAAAATTTAAAAATTCAAAATATATTTAATTTATAATCCTATTATTTCAAAATTATATAAAAAATATTTAAAAATATCGGAAAAGGACTTCTAGGTGCCTTAAGATAGCTCTTTTCTTTGATATTAATAAATATTAATTTGAATAAAATTAAATAATAATTTTTTATAATATTTAATTTTAAAATACCAGAATAGGACATCCAGTTGTATTAAGACTGCCCTTTTCTTCGATATTGAAAAATAAATGTTAAAAATAATTTATTAAAAATAAATAAATATTTATTTATTATATATATATATTTATGACTACATAATAATAATAAAATATTTAAATATATAAACAAGTAAAATTAAAATAATAAAAATACAATTAGAACTATATATTTAAAAGCAATAAAATAAATAAAAATATTTAAAATTATTGACTAAATTATAGTAAATTAAAATTAAAAAACCTAATTCAATATTAATCAAAATTATAGGGATTAAACATGCTATTTTCTTATTTATTAATTTAGTGACTAAAATAAAACTATATAAAATTCGGATATTAGAATAAAATAAATTAAAACATACTATTCAGATTAAAATATTAATTATTAAAATTATAGGACTAAATCTGTTATTTACCCTATATATATTATTTTAATATAAAGGACTAAAATAAATAAAATTGAAATTAAAGAACCGAATTAAAAGGATTATAAACTCGATTTAGTGACTAAAATGGAAAGTTTATAAACTAGGATGACTGCGGAAAGGATTTAACTATTAATAATTACACAAATAGCCCTCCCGAAACGACGTCGTTCGGGAAGGGCTATTTAAAGCCAGAACGGCTGGCCTTCGGGCCAGCACTCTCATTCTCCATTTTCATTCTCTCTCTAACTGAGAGAGAATGAAAAGCTCTCCCTTCTCTCTAGCTTCCCTCATCGGAGGGAAGCCGGTCACCGGACGGCAACCGTCTGTCGCCGTGACCCTCACCGCCGGCCACTGCATCCGGTGGCCGGAAAATTTTATTTTTACATCATTAGGTAGATCGGACCGTCCTAAGGACGGTTCCGGTGCTCTTTTCTCCTAAATAGCTCCCGATCGGAGCAAATCTAAAGAAATACCTTCGGTTTTCGAAGGTTTTGGTGAAGTTTGAAGAGGTTCGGTGGCTTCCTCGGTAAGCTTCTTTCCTTTCTTTTTGTTTCTGTTTTGGTTTACTGCGGATTGTGGGTTATTGTTCTTTGTTTTTGTTCTCTGTTTTTGCTGGTCTCTCTCTGTTCCTCCCTCTCCTTTTTTTTCGCAGATGGGGTGATGGCTTTATAGCCATCACCGGTGTGGCCATCGGACCGGGTAAAAGAATACCCTTCGGTGAGTCACCGGACTCCCAGTGGTGACTCACCCCATAGCCATAACGTGGACGGCTGGCGTTGGAGCTTCTGGAGCCTTCGGTTGGGGCGTGGCAGCGGCTGGAGCGACGTGGAGCGGCGGCAGCTGGTGTAGTCCCTAGGGTATCATAACCCTAGGGTTTCGTCTGGCGCCATCTGGACCGTTGGATCAATGCTAGATCCAATGGTAGAGAACCAAAGCGGCGGCAGCTGGATAGAAAACCCTAATTGGGTTTTAGGGTTTCTGATTTGGGCCAGTTGGGTCCTTTGTAATTGGGCCGGTCCAATCTGGGCCTGTTTGTAATTATTTTTTAATAATAATAATTATAATAATAATAATTATAATAATTATAATAATAATAAAATGAGTAAAAAAAAATTAGTATCTTCACTCCTATCATTTGATTGTTAGATTACACGTCAATATCATTAACTAGGATGAAATGTTAAACAACTCCCAACGACTTTCTGTCTTCGTTTCGATAAAATACTAAAACGAAATCTGAATATTTTTAAATGGGTTAATTGTGTTCCTCAAATTATAACTCATATTTTAAATTGGTCTTCCATTTTTAAAGCGCTATGATTAAGTCTTTAAAGTATTAATATCAGCTGATGGAATGGAGGCATCTTCTAACCGAGTTACCGTCCAGAAGATGGTACCACCAAATGGTGAATGGCGCTGGGACCTGCTGCGAGGTTTACTCGGGGAGGCCAATTGAGAGTCTTCACACACCTTAAATCTTATTTATTTCAGTGAATAATCAAACATATGTACAAAGCTTTAATTTATAACAACCCATAAACATGACAAAATAAAAAGAAGACAAAAACCATAAGATATGATAATAATTGCACTTGCAAATATGAAACTAGTAATAAGGTGATGGTGCTTCTGCAACTTTCTCAGCGTCCCCTAAAAGCTTGCAAACGGCCTTAAGCAAGAGAGGGACGATAGGTTGATCGGGAAAAAGAATGGGCCAACAGTTATCGCCCAGCAGAGTGATGGCTTTGCAGCATTCCTGTTGGAGTTCATCAAACTTCTTGAACGAAACAGCCTCCTCGATTGCCTCAACGCAGCCTTTTACACTCGTCAGCGACAACAGGCATCCCCCGAGATCTTGGGTTTTCTCTGTCGATCCCGATGGAACCACCGCTGACGACGCTGCGGCTATGCAGCAGGTGACGGCGGCTATCCAAAACATGAGGGTTTTTGATGTTGCTGCTTCCATGGAATATGGTCAAATGAGAATGATTATAGCTTTGGAAAAGGGATTGGTGGTGATTTAGCATTGTCTAAGTATGCATTTATAGCAGAAGTTTTGCAATGAGTATTTGTTTTAATGGGAAAATTGGATGTATAATTGGTAAAATCAGATGTCACAGTGTACGTAAAAAGAAAATTATCTCACGTAAAGGAAAATATAGATATATTGGTATTTGATTTTTGTTTTGTTTTATTAAAAGTGTCCTGTGAGGGGGCAGCTACAGCTGTCTTATTATTATTAATATTATTGTTTAAGGAAATAAAGGATTTTATTATTTTCTAAATTGAAGCAATCGAAACTTGGGTTTTGGTAAGGAAATAGAAATGTATGACATGAACTTATCAATAGGCATTAGTGCTACAAAAGAATAATTATGAGTTCGAACAGTTAAATTAGTAGAATGTATATATATTATCAATTAGTTAAAAATGTTTTGAACGTATAATACGAGTGTTTATCAAATCAAATAGGATATGGGAAAAAATTAGAAAAAAAAGTAACTGCAAATATGTGTATATATACTCCTCCGTTTGACATCATATTTTACTTGGATGTGATTGTAAAAATGAATTGTGCAGACATACAAAACCACTATCTGCCAACAAATGCATTCCTCCGCGATTTTTATCGCAGATTCACAATATATATGCATATATGGACCAGCATAGATAAAAAAAAACTAAATACCATATATTTTCATCATTTTGTCAGGTATTTCAGCTGTTCTTCATTCACACACGTTGCAAAAAGAGCCAACGTTCTTTTTATCAACAAAGGGCAGTCCACCTTGAATCGATGCTATATTCTCTCCTAATCTACGCAACAAAACATACAGGGACCAGTTCTGGAAAAATGTCTAAACAAATTGTAAAAGCTAAACAATCTATTAACATGTCGATATTCATCATGAGGGCATTCCATGGAATTACAATTGTGCCGAATGCGAGCAGAGAACACCAGGCTTTAGAAATCCTTCATTTTTTCTCATCTCATGCTGGAAGATTTACTACAGAATAAATGCGCGAACGATGCATGTGATCACAAGAAATGCGGATGATCGGCCACGCATAAGAGATGGGGAAAGAAGAGGTTCAAGCTTGCGGCGAGAAGGAAGTTCTCAGCCATAAGGACCGACCTAATATGGCACTTCCATGAACAGAGAGGTAGGTAGCATTCAACCTGGAAGTAACAATCAGAGTTGAATTAGTTTTCCAAGAAAAAATTAACCCAGATTTTTATCATAGAGCAGGAAATGAACTTTTCCTTATCAACATTAGGCGTAGCCAATGGATCATATGACTCATCGCTTTGTTCGATACCTGGAACGGCACTTGTCATAGCTGCCATTTCTTGAGAACCTTCAACCTGCAAATCAAATCATTAATCTAGCAGTAAATTGTAAGCACACTTAGGTTTCATTCAAATTACTGGAACAGATTTTACACTGTGAACCTATATCATTGTTCATTCTTTAATGTAATTACCAACATGTTCAAATTTAGAAAACAATGACAGCAACTGTACACAGAAAAATATTTATACAAACACAACATTTTATGAGACAACATTAATGGAAAATTCTTATATACAATGCTAAGCTAATATTCAAAACCTCTTGCCTGTTGAGGATATTGTGCATATCCGACATATGCACCATATGCATACAAAGAGGGATCCTGGGTAGCTCCATAACCATAAGCATCATAACCTTGTCCATAACCATAGTAGGTGCTCCACTGATTCGGATCAACTTGTGTACCCCAGGCACCAGGTAGGTCCTAAATTAAGTAATGCCAAATATTATCAATCAAAGCAAGCAAAACAAACTTAAATAGTTGCCTCAAAAAGAATATTGACCATAGACACCAGACTCATCTAAACCTAAACTGAAATAGTGGTTTAAATAATATATAAGACAATAAAAGAGCTATTATTACTATATAAATTCATTCACTGTCCATTTTATCCTATTTTTACAAAAAATAACAGCTTTTCTCTTTTTAGATTTTTCCATTAAGGATGAAAGGATGTTTCTTGAATGTGAGTGTGGGTGATAGGAAGCTCATGTCATTTGTGTTGATATATTTGTAAGGGTAGGAGATGGCATGGGAAGTTGCTCAATGAAGATCATCGAGATTAATCTTATTTTTGCAAGCTAATACCTTGAGGGGATTTCTCGATGTCAGTCTAATAATAGCATTTGGCTTATTGGAGTTTGCTAAGGAGGTTAATTGCTGCTCATGTTTTGTGATTCAAGGAGCGTGCTCGATTATGATTTTTGGTGCAATTCTGTGTTTTGTTCTCTTATTGTGCTTGGTTTTTCTATAATTGAACTTGGGGTGCTTTTATGGAGTGAATTTGCTTTAGAATTTCGTTGCTTTCAGGTGTTTCTAGGCTGCTTATCTTTAGGTGCAAACTTGCATTTTCTTTTAATTTAGGTGTTCTATAATTTCATTAAAAGGATTTGAATCTTGTGTGCTTGTTGTAATGTTTCTACTAACCGTGGCTGAGCTAAAAAAATTAAATCAAATTGTGAATTTGTTACCAAAGAAATATCACCTGCTTTGTTGTTGGGCTCCTACCCCAGGAAATGCAAACAACTTGTTGACCAATCATTTGCCCCTGCATCCTATGTATGGCTTCTTCAGCAGATGCCCTACGGATGACAGATAGTAAAAGTCAAAAGCTATTAGGCATTATATTCGACGAAGGAAAGACAATTGAAAATTTTGACTAATATACAACACCAAGATAAAGGGCACTCTACCAATCCATTTTACTATTTATACAGCTAAATCTTTCATCTCCCTTCCGGGGTTTATATAACAGTTGTTTGTATAATGGGAAAGGAAACTGTAAAATGTCTATTCACAAGTTTCTTGTCAAAATGACAATTTTATTTATCATAAGTTGACATTTAAAAATAAAGAATATCCTTTGATCCTTTTCTTCAACTAAATCTTCTTAAGACCTTCCTCAACATCTATGTATCTTTAAGTTTTTCTATGAACTATAATTTTCAATGGAGAAAATCCAAGTCCTCCAAATCTATGTATCTTGAAGTTTTTCTATGAATATTTCAGAAAGAGCTTGTATTTTCCTAATGTTGAAAAGATTTTCCTTAAAGGTGAGATCTTGAAAACCACATTAATTTTTATTTACCTCTTTCAATTGATTTTTAATTTAAAAACGAATGCAATTTAAAAAACCTCTCGTTTCGAAAAATTTGAGATTTCGTTTACAATAGAAAAATATAGTTCGAAGAGTCGCCACCGATCTTTGATTAGGGTGTGATTGGGCACCCAAAAACATTTTTGTTATTTTAAATAAAATTTAATTTTAATTAAAACAACAAGTTAAAGTCTGCGTTACCAAAATCGAGTTCGGGAGACCGTTACGAGTGAGGAAGGATTAGCACCCCCACAACGCCGTAAATCGGTACCTAGTCGATTAATTAACGTCTTTGCAATGAACTTTATAAATTCGAACTTAATTTAGCTTTTGATCCCATAAAAAAGATATACAAATTTAAATAAATGAACATTTCCTTTTCTTTCGTTCCCAAATTTTAGGTGACGAATCGATTTTTTTAGGTTTCACTTTCGGGATACACTTTTAATTTAAAATGGTCAAAACGGCCCTCTAATCAGTTAAGACAAGCCACTAAAGACAATTTTAGATTAAAAGGGTATTACCCTTAGTCCAATTATGTATTTATAAGTCGAGTTATGCATATAAGGGTATCATACAAATTGTGCAAAAAGGATGTCATGCCAAAATCAATTAAACAAAATTAAAAATATCATACAACGTGACATACAAAAAATTATATACATATGTTTTAATTATAAATTATATACTATGCATATATCACCATGTAATGCAAAAATGTGACTTAAAAACATTCAATGAAAATATAACATCTCAAACTACAAATTTTGGACAATAATCATGCTTATTTAAATAAGGACTAAATCATATTAACCCGAACATTAGTACCTTAAATATAAACAAAATAATTGAAAAGGATTAAAATAACATAAACCATAAACATACGTGAGACTAAAAGGAAACATGGAAGAAAATTGCAAATCCAATGTCTAAAACTAACGAAAATTAAATGACAAAACATCCGGGACTGAAATTAAATATGTGTACAATATGATGACAAAACTAGAAACTAAAAACAAATAACACAAGGACCAAAACATAATATGCGTAAACTTAAGAGTTAAAAAAGGAAAATTCCAGAAATCAACTTGAGGACCAGACTGCGAGCTATTGAAACCTAAAGGGATCACTCGCTGAATTTTCTTAACTCTCGAAACGTCGCCGTTTTGATAACGCCCAAAGCTACGTCATTTTGAACTTAAGACAAAATACCTTGGTGTAATCATAATCTTATTTGCAAACCTTCTCAGCTCCCACAGAGGCATCATTCTCTCCTTCCTCTCAACCCTCTCATTCTCTCCTCAATAGCCTCCTTCTCAAACTCACTCTCATGGCAACGAAACTTTGATGACTCTCTCTCTAGGCTTCGAATCACCCCTAACCACTGCCCCGCCGTGCTACATACGCTAAACCCCGAGACCCTTACACTACGATCTCTCCACTGCTCGACCCCGAGGTAAACTACCTTACTTCCTTTCTTTATTTGCTTTATTTATTTTACATAAATCTGTATACAAGAAAATTTAAAAATTTAAATAGCAAAATCGAACCAATATACCTCTGAAAAATAAGTAATGCTTTGATGGCTTTGTTGTTGCTGGATTTGCCTCTGTTTTCCTCAGGTTCTGTCTTCGATTTTGTTATGTCTGATGCTTTGCTGCTGCTGTAAGGAATTTTCTGATATCTTTGCTTTTAAAATAAACACGAACACACGCACGCTTTAGAAATCGAAAAAGAGTGATGATGAATTCCTCAAAATATTCTGTTGCTTTCGAAGAAAATGGGGAAGACCCCTGTTACACTGCTTTATCTTTGAATACAAGGGGGAAAATATTGTTTACACTCACTGTTTTTATCTGCTGTTCTGTTGTGTAATACAAAAAAAACCCAATCCAGACAATCTTTCGTGCCTTTCTCTTAAAAAAATGGTCTCCCCCGGCTCCAATCTTCCCTCCCCGTTTTCTCAGTTCCTTAAAAACTGACCCCCACCTTCTTTACAGTTTCTTCCTGATAAATTAAGAAAACTGACCCGATAACTGCTTTTAGTTTTCTAGGGAGTATTCACGTGGGCTTGAGTTGGACCTTCAATTGCTTAGCTTCGGGTCTGCTCCGATCTAGCCCCGGATAAAAACGAGCATCTACAGCTGCCCCTCTTTGCTCATTGTCGTACAACAAAAATAGAGCAAATATCAAAAGATGGTCGAGTTTGTCCGGTCATAAAAACTTCAAAAGATTAAATCACTCTATTGTTACGTCGAGATAAGTGATACTTGAAAAATCTTTGAATGATGTGTCCGCTCCCTCTTGTTCAGGGATTAAGGAACTCGAACAATCTTCTAAAAATTCCCTATTGCTTCAGGGAGTAGAACTCGAATAATCTTCTATTTACGAGTTTGCTCCTTCTTGCTTCAGGGAGTAGAACTCGAACAATCTTCTGCTTACGGGATCGCTCCCTCTTGCTTCAGGGAGTAGAACTCAAACAATCTTCTGCCTACGAGTTCTCTCCCTCTTGCTTCAGGGAGTAGAACTCGAACAATCTTCTGCCTACGGGTTCGCTCCCTCTTGCTTCAAGGAGTAGAACTCGAACAATCTTCTGGTGTGATTTTGCTTCACTATTCTTCCATGAAGGCTCAACTTCGAAGGTTAAACCTGAAAATCAAACATTTCCACTTATTAATGTATGCTTGAAGATTTGAAAAACATTATACTCGAAAAATTTAGAATTTAAGAGAATCTTTGAGAATCCATTTCTCTTGCGGGAGCTTGTCTCGCAACAACTAGATATAAGAATCTTCTAGTACTCGACTGCCATCTGAACATATCTCTTCCTGGGACTTTGAATTGGTTAATGACTCCTCGTGCGCATTTCCTTTTAATCAATTGATCCTCTTCTTTGTACTTGAGAACCTTCACTTTCCTCCCACATCTAATGATCTGATGTTTGCTCTAACACTCTTCCGAGAAGGCTTAAAATGGCCCGAAAGACTTATCATCTTGCTCGAAAGACTTACAAATGACCCGAATGATTTAATCATCATGCTCGAAAGACTTGCTGATGGATTTGCTTCACTACTCTTCGGTGAAGGCTTACAAATTACCCAAAGGATTTAATCATCATGCTCGAAAGACTTACTGATGGCCCGAAGGACTTCATCATCATGCTCGAAAGACTTACTGATGGCCCGAAGGACTTCATCATCATGCTCGAAAGACTTACTGATGGCACTTACTGATGGGTTTGCTTCACTAATCTTCCGTGAAGGCTTATAAATTACCCTAAGGATTTAATCATCATGCTCGAAAGACTTACTGATGGCCCTAAGAATTTAAGCATCATGCTCGAAAGACTTATTGATGGCCCGAAGGACTTACTAAGTGCGAAATTTTGGGGAAAAATCCTTTTTAGTTTTCAAATGTTTCATTTTCTTAAAACATCACTTTCTTATTTTTCAAACTCATGTGAAAACATCCTACCCGAAGGTCTTATGGATGGCCCGAAGGACTTATCATCTTGCTTTAAAGGCTTATAGATGACCCGAAGGATTTCATCATCATGCTCGAAAGACTTACTGATGGTCCAAAGGACTTAAATTGTTTACTGGGTAAGAAACCTTACTTATTTTTCAAAATCTCAAATTTCATATTTTAATGAGAAATCCTTCTCATTTCACTTCATAAAATGACTTAAAGGTCGGGCCTCGTTCCTCGCTTCAAAGTAATGCTTCCTCTACAGATTGACCCCTGCTTTCCTCAGGTTCTGCTTCTCTAAACATGATTCCCTGTATTTGATGTTTAACTTCTACCATTCAATTATTGGGATTTTAACATCCTGCATCTTCTCTTTTCACTGGAAGATCTGTCAAAACCATGTGTTTATGCATGAAACACGAATGCAATGAAATGTATCAGTGTAATGCATTTTCTTTTATGCAAATGATTTTCTCATGAATGCATAAATATCGATTCAATCTTCATTTGAATTCAAAGTGGCGAACTTAGCCTTCTTCTACTTGATCATTCATCTCCGGGGTTTGCTTTAAATATCCGTATAACAACTCACAATTTCCAACTTGCATTTTTGAAGAGCCTTCTGATCTTCTTCTATCTTCTTGTTGTCTTCGTTTTCTATCTTCATTTCAGAGAAATCACTTTCTCTCTCAACTTCTTGCTATGATCAGAAATACCACTGTGTTGCCCCATTTCCGACCTTGGCTCAATTACGCTTTCTGAGTTGTTCTTTCAGGACTCTGCCATTGATTGATGCTCGGTTGATTTACTTTACAAGGTAAGCTCTGCTCAAATTCATGGTCTTCCCCTAACACTTCAAGTTGTGAGACTCATTCTCAATATCTTCTTGGTCTGAATCATGTCATCCCAACATGATTTGGGTTTCTGGTCATGCCCCAAAGTGGATACTCATGGATTTCTTCGTGCCCAACATATCCTAACTTGAATGTTCTCATTCTGGTGTCACTACATAGTAGT